GTTAATTTAAATAATCCTGATTGTTAAATTGTGTTTGCACTAGCTGACTATTAAGAAAAACTAGCTTGATTGGTGAATTTACAAACAAAGAAACAGATTCACAACACGTGTTCGCGTCCGACCGGAAGTCTGCAATTTTCGATTAAAAGGGCGCAAGAATTTACCGCGCGGGTTGGGGACAACTGTATCATTATGAAAAATACGTTTGATCGTCGTTAAACAAAGGCTTCCTCCCGTTTTATTAACTACCAAACCAACTAATTTAAACCTAGCGCTTACCACGTGGTCACACACACACAGCCACATTCATAATGCCCTACCATGCCGTTTTTCTACCAACCCTCTAACTGAAATTACCCTAGCGCTACGTGCTGCCATCTAACCCAAAGATCATGCAACTAACTCCTAAGCGCTACGTGCATTAGACCATCCATGCATATTTGGTTGCCTATGTTTAAGGATTTCCTTTTTGTGATTGAACTCTTTTTTTTTTTCAAATTAAAATTATTCAAATGTGATTTCGCGCCGTTGTCAATTAATTTCAGCGCGAAAAGTTTGATTTAAATTCGGTCACCACAAAACGAAAATTATTTAACAAAAAGGAAGGTACATATTCATAATTTTAAAACTTTTCTGCTGGTAGGTTTGTTACAGATCGTTATTTTCTTCGACCAGTCTGTTGGTTCCAAACAAATATTATTAATAACTTTTTCATTGTTGCTCGAATAATTATATCACAAACTCTTGATTTATGTTCCAAGCAACAAAATAATGGATTTTGGTCCAAAGAAGGATGGAGCAGATTACATATTTGTTGACATGTCTTTTTAGAGTTTAAAAACGCCAACATTTTTTGAGTTACGTCAGCCACTTCCTTCACAATGCCTACAAAATATGCATTGGGATAGGTTAATCCACCTCGATCCTGTAACAGGATGAGTCTTAATAGCGGACCAGGAACCTCTTTGGACAACAGCGGTGCAAGGCAGCTATCGCAATGAAGTTTGTCGTCTAATTTCTTTAAAATGAATCCAGCCAAAAAGGCCACAGATACCGATGAAATGTTTGCACAGGGTTCAATTAATTTACTCAGGTTTTGAATCTTTGTTCTTAATTCCAAAGGTACATCAACATTTTCTTTGTCTTGTTTTGTATCACGATCCAAAACTGAGAATTTTGCAGTACTGACAAAGTCTATATTGGAAACATTAGATGATTTGGAACATTTAACAAGTCCGCAGCGGAGGATCTGACGCATTGCATATTCTGCAGCTCTGGCATCCGTTGCATCATTGGAGCCTCCTTTTAATCTCACGTGTGGGAACGTTGCTTCCACCGCATCGGAGCTAAAGGAACGCGTAAGAACGTAGTAAAAGCCTGCTTGTTCTTACAAAAACTTAACACACAAATATGTACTTCTGGCAATAAATTTTAAAACATGTGCAGTCTCTTGAGTGAAACCACGAAAACCGGTGCTAGCAGAACTGATGGTTTGAATTTCATCTATATAATTTTGTTTGGCCACTGAAGTCTTTCATAAGAAACGTGAACATATGGAGCGATACTGCTATCTAATGATCTAATGTAATGATATCTATTAGATACATTGTGAATTCGGAAGAAGTAATAAATTGTTTTCATAAATTGTATCGTGCTTTAAACATTAACAAAATTTTTATCATTGGCGTCTTTTAAATACTGCAATGATGATGTCACTGGAGTGGAAAATATTTGCACGGCTCTCAGCACATTCATTTTTACGAAATTTGTAGGATATAAGTGCTTTTTTGTCAAATATCTAATTGGTTTTACAGGTAGCCCTTTCTGAAAATTTTGATGTACCTTTGGAATTAAGAACAAAGATTCAAAACCTGAGTAAATTAATTAAGACTCATCCTGTTACAGGATCGAGGTGGATTCAGCTATCCCAATGCATATTTCGTAGGCATTGTGAAGAAAGTGGCTGACGTAATTCAAAAAATGTTTCCGTTTTTAAACTCTAAAAAGACATGTCAACAAATATGTAATCTGCTCCATCCTTCTTGGGATCAAAATTCATTATTTTGTTGCTTGGAACATAAATCAAGAATTTGTGATATAATTATTCGAGCAACAGTGAAACCAGTAAGTTTTTGATAATATTTGTTTGGAACAAACAGACTAGTTGAAGAAAATAACGATTTACCAGCAGAAAAGTTTTAAAATTATGAATATGTAGGTATCTTCCTTTTTGTTAAATAATTTTCGTTTTGTGAAAATATATCTATCTTATTTCAAAACTAAATAGTAGGAGTAATATCATTAACGTTCTTGTGCCATTATCTACACTTTCAAAAAAACGTGATATTTTATAACGTCATTTTGACAATTATTTGCCAACCAAGTTCATAACTGTACTCAACAGATGTCGTTGCCTGATTAACAATTTTGGAAACGTCAACGAATCAACTTTTTATACGAATTGGCGGAATTGGGATGGCCATATGTATTAATACAGTTGGCCGTGATCATACTGAATCTTTTTTTTTTTTTTTTGTAATGAATGAATGGTTGCCTAGCTTACAATCTTTAAGCTTTAAGCCACAGTATAGAGTTCAATCAGTAGAGACAACACGTGTCGGCGCCTTTGATCTTTCTGACCCGAATTTTAAGCCATCATCGGTGATCGTTGCCCAAAATATTTCTAGATGTCGCCACCCAATTTAAAAAGGATCACAAACGCTTCACTTTAAAATTGATTCGTGTACACAATTTACTACACTTTGTGCAAATGAATTTTTGGAAAAGACTTAAAAATAGTGTAATAACAACAACATTTTGTAACTAGTTGATCTTAGAAACCACAGTCTATTGTAGTAAATAATTAATTAAGCGTTAAATTTAGATGTGGCCCGCTTCTCTGATTACGATTTTATGTTTCATTAATTTCTTTTTCATGATGGCTGTAAATGGTTGTAAAATTCAACGTTATTAGAAAACGCTAATATATGTATATACATTTAATTTTTTTACAAAAAAAATTAAACAGTAAACGATGGTCCTATCATGGTAGAAGGAGACATGGTATAGGCATACGCATTGAGTGTGACGTCAAGTGGGGTGAAATTAGCGCGAAATTTAAAATACAAACTTTCGTTATCCGACAACTAATTGACGTATTGGACAGAGCAATGACAACTCAAGCTGAAATTCCCTAGACTTCCCTAGCGAAGCTCACAAGAGTCACAAGGTCGTTGATGCCACCTAACGTCACAAATGGATGCGCAGACCATTTTTAATTTGGTACATCGGATGCCTATACCATGTCTCCTTCTACCATGGGTCCTATGAAATCGTGAACAACGCTTTTTAAAATGTCTCTACTGATTGATATCTATACTGTAGAGTAGAGATAGTCTGTGGTAGAGATCATTTAGTAGGAACAACTCGCTGTTTTTTCTGACCCGTTTTCATGGATGATCGTTTGGCATGTCACCGCATGAGGGCGCGCACCGCAAGGTACTTCTAAAGTCACTAGATAGATAAAGTACCGCAATTGGACGCCATATTGTGTCCGCGCCATATTCAAAATAAATAAATAAAAATTAACGGACTCGATACTTGCGTATAAAGCGTAAATGTAGATTTTTTTCAAATAAACATTTATTTATGTTTAAGCGTTATTTGTTCAATGCACTTAAATGCCATTGATAAACATAAGGCGTGAGTAAAAAATATAGATGAGAAACCTTGCAATATCAGTTTATTAACAAAATTTCGGCCACAATAGTTTCCTTCCATCTGCTCGCTTTGCTTCAAATTGTTGTTCAGAAAAATGTAACTAAAAGTAAATAGTATTTAACATTGTGCAATTACATATTCAAGCTTTAAACAAATTACTTCGCAAACTCTGGAGTTGTCGTTCAAATCGTCCCGGCCTATTAAATTCTCCCACATCACTCTTCTAGTCTAGCCCTATTACTAACACCTGCAACAATTTAAATTAGTTGAGAAAACTCAATTGAAAACTCAGTTGTAACCTACCTGTTGGAAGACGAAACAATGGGCTTTTATTTCCACACAAAGGAACACAACAACTTGGCATTTTAAAATAAAAGTCATAAAACACCACAAAAAAACACAAACAACTTTACAAAAAACACAAACAACTTTGCAAAAAACACAAACGGCGTTTGACAATTAACATTGACGTTTGTCGGTCGCCATATTGTGTCCGAAATACACGTTCTCTCTCTAACACATTGAAACATTCAATTGCGGTACTTTGGTTATCTAGGGACTTTAGGTACTTCTCTTTCTTACACATTGGAACATTGAATAGCGGTACTTTGGTTATCTAGTGACTTTAATCTGAAATATTTGAAATTTGGCAGTTTAGTTGCATTGGTTTTGATGGTTTAATACGACTGATCTTCCGGTGGAATTATTGCAGTGAAGTGTAATTTTCACAGAGACATTCTAAAAAATGTTCTTCATGTTTTGATGGGACTATTGTTTACTGTTTAATTTTTTTGTAAAACAATGAAATGTATATTGGCGTTTTCTAATAACGTTGAATTTTACAACCATCAAGACAGGGAAAATAAATTAATAAAACGTAAAATCGTAATCATAGAAGCAGAGCTAAATCGGAATTTCTGTACGTCATCTCTGTTATAGGGCGCTTAATTCATTATTTATTATAATAGACTGTGTGGTTTCTAAAATCATCTACAAAATGTTATTATTATTACACTATTTTTAATTGTTTTCCAAAAATTTATTTGCACAAAGTGTAGTAAACTGTGTACACGAATCAAATTTTCAAATGAAGCGATTGTGATGCTTTTTAAATTGAGTGGCGACATCTAGAAATAATTTAGGCAACGACCACCGATGACAGCTTAAAATTCGGGTCAAAAAGATCAAAGGCGCCGCCACGAGTTGTCCCTCGTCCCTACTGAATGATCTCTATACTGTGGCTAGATCTGTCGGACAATAAAGTTGAGGTTATGGCCGTCATTACAAGCAGGAAAGATAATAATAACCCTTTGTGATAATAATACTCCATTATATCAATTTTATGATTATGTAAGCACCGCATATTACACAGTCCTAAAACATGTCCAAGACTAACGCCTAAGTAATGTCTGTTACTGTAAAAATCTTATTTTTCGCCAAATCCAGAGAAATTGTGGGCCAAACATCTGCATCCCTTGAACTACCAACACATATTTCATACGTTGATTTATTACAGAAAATAGTGGAAGAGTTTTCGTTGAACGACATCAAGCATAGCGTTATTTTATCCCTTAACGAGGAATTTTGCCACAGTGAAGACACAATTAACTTGAAGAACGGAGACGAAATTGCAGTAATTCCACCTCTAAGCGGCGGCTAAACTGTCCACAATGAATCATTTAAACTTCACATCTGAAAAGTTGAGTGTGGAAGATTTAACAGAACTTGCGACTTCACCAAAATGTGGGGCTGTTTCAGTCTTTCTAGGCACTACTAGGGACAATTTTGAAAACAAAACTGTGGTCAAATTGGAATATGAAGCTTATGAGTCAATGGCGCTGAAGTCTCTGGAAAAAATATGTGAAGAAATACGTACCAAGTGGACACAAGTCGAAAACATTGTCATTTATCATAGGTAATTAGTTTATGTGTTCATAAGTATGGTTTTATGATTATGCTTTACAGACTGGGTGTTGTTCCTGTAAAAGAAGCAAGTATAGTTATTGCAATATCGTCACCACATAGAGCCGACGCCATACAGGCCACTGAGTGGTGTATTAACACTGTCAAAGAAAAAGTTCCTATTTGGAAAAAAGAAATTTATTCTGATAGTCAACCTGAATGGAAAGAAAACAAAGAATGTGGGTGGTCAAGTAATATATTAAGTTGAGGGTTGTGATTTTACTTTTTTATCAACTGGGGGCTTTCAAATACATTGTTATGGTTATTGGTTGAGTCCATTGCATGTTTTTTAGCATTTTTATTGTTGCACTGTTGATTTATTATTAAAATCTCATGAACTGTTCTTTTGTTTTATTATAGCCTATTATCCACCAAAGTTGAAAAAATTCAAACTAGACTTTGACCAAAAAGTGGAAGTTCCGACTGTGTCACCTCACTTGGTACAGATAAAGGCATCAAACACGGATCTAACCAAAAGAATTGAAAACTTTATGGAAAGGAAAAGAAATGACATCAATGTAAATAATGTAAGGGAATTTTGTACTTCTGAGAGAAATTCAGAATTTACGTGTGCAAGAGTGGACGCAGTTTTGCAAAAACGAAAGGACTCAAAGGGACACTTGCAAGGTAAAAATGTTGATGTTCATAGTGAAACATTATCTTTTTGTTTTTAGTTAGTCGTGTACTAAATACATATCATCGAGACCAAATGAACGCCGATTACTTAATGAAATATATTCCACCAAATGGTATTGAAGAAAGACTCCAAAATTTAGAAGTGCAACTAAGTTTAAATACAGCTGTCCCAAAAAATGTTTACACTCGTTTAAAACGACTGGAGGATCGCCTGTTGCATCTGGAATCCATTTCACCTGAATATATCAATTTTTGGGTAAAAAACACCATCTACAAATTAGTTTAATTTTAATGACTCAATGACTAAATTTTAGGACAAAACACACTTGGCTAATAAATTTGTTAAGAAGAAAATTTTTACAGTGCAGGAGATTGATTCTCTGATTTCAGATTTGGAAAAAAAGAGTTCTGAAGATAAAAAGACTTGATCTTACGTAACTAACGTTTTTAGATAGTTTTATTTCGATTTTGTATATATGATATAAAATAGTTTTAAAGTTTTATACATTTGAATAAAAAATTAACTTAATATTTTAAACATATCACGCAGTGCATTATTAACATAAAAGAGTTCACAACTAAATAAAAATAAATAGAGCCTTCAGTCAAACAAAAGTTTTTTAAGTGAAGATGTTAGGATCAGTAAATTTCGCCGTAAAAATATAAAATAAAGCTGGAAGTGGCACAAGTAAAAGTAATAAAGAATGGAGCGTTGGATCCGTTAACTGAGTAATGGAGATTAAACCATAGGCATGTAGACACCAGTGTCCTACCAAAATGACTACATTTCTCGGTTCCACAACTGTGGTTATAATGAGGGAGGAAATGGATTGATTCAGTTTGAGAGCAAAATGGTACGCACATGATATAACTGATAAAATAACCACCAAGATTGGAAAGGCATAATCTAAAAACATTAACATTAGATTTGTTAACTAGAAAAACAAAAACTTACAAAGAAGTCCTCCAATCAAGGCATGAGTAACGACTAAAATGGGTATGTAGTACATGGCGGCATATATCGACATTTTACTTTGTCTTGGAAGATATTTCCGACACACCCATGGCCTTATTAGCAGCATTGTAGTCAAAGTCAGTGCATAAAATATAAACACTAGAGTATACCTAGAACGAAAGAAATTATGAGTGTTTCAAACTTTTATTAGCGATGTACAATGGATAGACCGCCTCTTGCGTACAATGTATCTTCTCTTCATAATTTGGCGCCGGATTGTGCAATAAAGTATACCAATCAGCCAATGTTCTTACTCCGCAACTTTGTATAGTAAACTCGCCGAACGGATGTGTAAACAAAAGAGATATAATTCCAGAAATAAGCACCTCCACTAAAGCTGTGAAGTGCAAAACAAGAACGTCTTTCTTAAAACTGAAAGATATTTATTAATTACAATATTAGTATCAAGGGATCCCGTGCACCTTCTTCTCATCGAAACCATATCAATAAAGAACCAATGAAGCACCAGAACCAACAAAACCATGAAACCCAAATACAACCAGTCGTAGAAGGTTGGAGTATCCATACATGGCTCACACATGCAACTTGTATCGTTGCGTCGGAACCCTCTGGGACATGACCCACAATCGCTGATCTGCCCGTCTGGTAAAAACATTCGTCCGCAGTACCATCCTGGGCAACTGAGGTCTCGATTTACCTTATTATCGCACATTATTTACATGTAAAATGAGGTTATGTTCAGATAGATTGACAGCTAGCGAATTTGAGGTTAGGATTTGGGGTAAATTTGTTTTGTGAATTAGACGTGGAGGTTTAACTGGGGGCAAAATTTTCACGACCCGATTATAGTAAAAGGGTGATTTATTTATTTTATTAATTGCTAGTAAAGCGGTTAAATTGAAAACATTTTTTATCATAAAGATGGAGGTCGTTGGGATGATAGTCAATCGTGATTGGTCGTCGGTCGCGAATATTTCGTTGTGATTGGTGGTGGTCAGGCACTTTGGAGTCAGTTTCTTGTCTGATAGCAGTTAAATTTAGCAAATTTTGAGCTACGGAATAGCTTTGAATAGTTATAAATTCATTGTCCGTTATTCTGAAGAAACTGAGGGGTTTTGGTGGCGGAATTTGATGATTTAGGTGTGAATAGTTCGTTCATCGACGCCCGAGTACCCCCCCATCTATTTTCAGCCCTAGGTACTTACGGCATCGGCTCGTTTGCACGCAAAAATCACAGTAAAAAAAACGCGAATTTCTCGTTGAATAGTGCATAAAAGAGTGTTGCGGTACATCAAGTGTCGGATTTGAGGTGTCCTCGGCATGTATGTGTGTGCGTTTCGTGCATGGATGCGTTAAAACAGGGGATTTTAGGTCTAAGTAACCAGCTGATGGCGGGTGAAAATACAGGACTCGCTTGGCAGTTTCCCGATCTCGTCAGTGTAGAAAAGTCCTCGTCTCAGTTTTCCGTCTAGTGTTTTCTCCGATCGAAGCGCGTTTCCGATCGTCGTCCCGTGGAAAGCTCGCGTGAAAAGGCCCGAATCGGAAAATCGTCTCCATTGGGCGTGCACTCACACCTTGTCATCGATAGTCTCGACCGAAACCGGTGCATATGATGCGTTTGAAGGGTGCTGGTGCCGAGGTTTGACGTGTCCAGGTGGTGAGATGTTCGTGTAATAGTGCCCGAAGCGAGACTTGGCCGCCACCATGTCGACGACGGCGTTTGTCGATCGGATCGATCCCTTCGCCAAGCGCTCCCTCAAGAAGAAGACGAAGAAGTCGCAGGGTAGCTCCAGGTACCGGAACTCGCAGGACGTCGAGCTGCAGCCGCTGCCGCTCCTCAAAGGTGAGTCCCCCGACCTAGTGCAACTCCGCCGAGGCGCGGCCCAAGGTCGGGCTGCGGAGGCAAGGTCGATCGTGCTCCGATTTTGGGGCGAAATCCGACCGAGCGGCTCGTGATCGACTCCGACGACGGCTGATCGATAAGCGATCCTCCGGCAGAGAGTGCCGCAATTATTCGGCATTCTTTCGCCGAACACACATGCGAAATTATCATAATTGCGCCCCGATTCCACGAGGATGCCGCCAGAGGATCGCCGGGAAAATTGCCATTTCCACGGTTCGCCTGATTACAGATTTCGTGTTGACATAACGAGGAGTTTGTTATGACGTTGCGGGATTAATGCTTATCTCCATTTCCTTTTTCATTTTCACTGTGTTGCCTTACCATATCCTTGTTTACTAATAATTGTCATTGATTTCTAAATCGGTAACCTGCGGTTTTTAGTGATTTAAGGACGAATACGAGGGGTATTCAGAAAAGATGGGAACTGTCATTGTGGCCATATACAGTTTAATGGTAAGTTGCAAAAGTGCCACATTCCTTGACGTAAGACTAGCGCTGTTCTATATGCAGGCAAAATCTGGTATAGATCTGGTAATGAGCCAAATTGGTCAATTCGTTTTCCTCTTTCTAAAGTTAACATTATCGAAATTAAAAACGAGGAATATGATATGAGTACATTTTTTGTAATAATACGGAATGCATCTGTAAAATTCTAGTGAGTTACATTAATTAATCCAGTGTCATAGGAAGTTGTAAAATTATTTGTAAAGATCCACAGATGCCAATAGGACATAAATATATACCTCCTTATAGTTTGTAATGTGCGTCAAATACAAAATATAGTAAAATTACTTTATTTATCGACTGATCGCCATTTATTTTTCTGACGGGAATAATAATTTCAGGTTGTGGCACTTTTGCATCCAAACGTACAAATACAGTATGTATAATTGGCTGAATTGAATTGTTGGTTTATATTTTGTGTTTACCAATTTTAGTGATGCTATGAGTATATTTGCACAAATTGATTTAAACACTAATAATTTAATGTAATAATGATACAAAATGTTGTAAATCACAAAAAATTTTAATGTTGTTGCAAAATTTTCAACTGAAAACTTTTAAATCTCATTTATTATGAAAAATAATAAATCAATAAAATTTACACATTATCAGAATCATAAATCCCAATTATAACTTTCGAGGACCTTTAAGTTTTTTGATATAAATCTGTCGCACTCATAGTTCCTATAATTCTATAAAATGCAAGTCTTCATATATTTAATATAGTTTTTAATATGCTTTTTCCATGCATATTTTTATTTTACTAATTGTTACGCATTACGTTAATGATTTTAAGGTTATTTAGACAGAACTTCCCTCGCTCCTGAAGTATAAACATTGAAATAAATCCAGTGTTTTAGATAAATTATAAAATTTGATTTTGTGAATTTAATTTTTTTGTAATAACTCCTGTAAGTTAAAATAAAGATATGTGTGGCTTTAAGTTACAGGTAAGAAGCATGCTGTGCGTATATATCATATATGTTTTTATAAAATTTTGTAATGACGAACTTTTTTGCAAGGACACTTGCCAATTTTGATAATGTAATACAATGTGTATAAATGATTGTAAATGTGTCTCTCTATTCAACTATGTCATGAGCGGTTTATAATTGACATACAAGACAACCTCAATCATTCAGCTGTATAATTAGTCACATAATTAGAATAAATTGGATTAAAATTTTTCGATATTAAAAATTTTATTTACATTTTATTGTGAACACAATCTCATTCGCCTTCGTTTATTTTCAAAAGTATGGTTGTCATTTCTTGATTAATATTCCCACAACAAACTGCTGCAGAAACACTTCGGCTTTTAAAAAAAGTAAACACTAACACTGAAAAATATAATGGTGTGCATCCGAAGAGGGTGGAGGATATGCGGGGTATTTTTGAGAAATTATTCGACTGGTATAAAATTCTCCTAAAAATGACAAAGTGGCACCTGCAGTATGTGCTGTAGTTCCATCTTTGTAGAAATAACCAAACTGTAGTGCTTCATCGTTGAATTGATTAAGGAACGTTTGTATTATTTTTTCTGTATACCTTCTCTCAGTAATAATAATAATAATAATAAAAAAAATGGGTACAATTACACGCCTATATGTATATAAGCTAATCGTATTTCAATTTCTTAATTTCTTGAGGGGGTAACGGTGTTTTAATAAATTTATGAGGATTTTGAGAGGACCAAATTCTACGATTTTGTTAGTTAACAATGCGTCATCAACAGGATGACAGTGGTAATGTAATGGGGATGTTATTCGTTTTGGGAATGTTATGGTATCTGTTGTAACACTTTTATATCCAAATGTGCAAGTATGTATCTATGTAGCAAAATCCACTGTTGCAGGTAACTCAAACTGTATTACTGGTTGACTTGAATAGTTGATGTAAACACTGGTAATGTATATAATAATATTAAAAAATTGTGAATTTCACATTAATAAAAAATGCGCCAAAGTATAAAATATTTGTCATATGCAAAATGCAAAATGGAGTTTAAATTATCATTTATAAAAAAAATCAATAAAATTTATACATCAGTACCATAATAAATCACGATTGTAACAGTTGAGAAATTCTAAGGATTTTTTATATAAATGAGGCGTAGTAATAGCTTGTGTGATTTTTTTAAAATGCAAGTTATTACATTTTTTGTTTAACATAATTTTTTATGCACACATATTTTTATTTTATTAGTCGAAGTAACACAAAACTTGTAAGTCAGGATTGTGTATAATTAATTAAAAACCCCCAGTTTATCTTTTAGAGTAGTAATAAAAAATCTTTTGGTATTTTTACGCTAAAAGAATGTTTTTATGTATGTTTATTATATTTTATGTTTATCTCTATCTTTGTTTATCAATGATTAAATCACAATTCGGTGCACACAGCAATTAAATATTTACATTTACACTCTCAGTTTCGCTGGAAATGCATCCAACTTGTTTTTTAAGTAGAAACTCCCTAAAGCTAATAAATAATCGGATTTACAACACGGGGATCTGGTGGAGGCAAGGTCGACCGTGTATACCACAGTCTAAGATTTATTGCACAAGTGGTGTTAAATATGTGTGGAAAATTTTATTTCTCTAGGGAGCTGTTTGGCTGTGCTAGTGAACTGCAGTGTGTCTGTTTTCTTTTAATTTTTCGTTCGTAAAGGAAAGTTGGCGATATAAATTTTTAGAATAGGAGTATGTATTCAGTGGGTTGTTCATTTCATATGTTTTGATTGGCATAAGAATTTAACAGCGGCTAAACGCAATGCGATCCTATTGCAATTATTCATATATGACTATGTATAGGATACCTACTACATTTCAGACACCAGTAGGAAGTGTCCATACCCTATTACATTACCATTTAACGACGTGACGAATTTGTAGATAAACGCCAGTAGTGTAAACAGTTCACACTTTTAGTCAATAAAAGCATTAAATGTGACTTTTATCATTACCCCAAAACCAGAAGCGAATTTAGGATACTTTCTTGTAGACAGAAATTAACGCTCTAAAGAAGAAAGGAAACAACGATTTTGGCAAATTGCCAGAACTAAATAACCCTACAAATGAAACTTTGCTACAGCATAGGACACCTCTGACTTAAGGTTGTTGCTACGCTGAACTGGGCAGGAAATCGCACGGGTGGATCCTGCATTTAAAACAATAGTAAAGTGATGGCTTGCAGTGATTACGAAAAAACTGACTACTGTTTTATTTTACATATTTCTTAAATGTGTTTAATAATAATTTTGAAAGAGTGGGGATCAGACAGTGTTTGTACAGTATTATTTTTATTGGATTATCAAATAAAAAGGAGTATTTTTTTACATACTTACTATAACGCATCGCTTTACTATTGATTTGTGTTGAGTGATATCTCTTGTCCACTTTAGCGTAGCAACAGCCTTAATAATTTCAGAGTATTCCTCGTATATAAGCCTTTCCATTGACACACATACCAAGTTATTCTAATTAATTGCGCCATTTTTGCACGAGGATAGCAGCAGAGGGTAATGAGAAAATTACACATTTGCAGATTTATGATTGGTGCTTTGCCTGTGGAAATTACAGGTTTTGGGAATGGGGTTGTAAATTATTACCATCATATTGCTAAGAGATTCATGGGGATCTACGATAGGTTATAAATGGAGCTATGTCAGTGATCACTATTTCAGAACCAGAACTATGTTTTCAGTTTTTATTGTTAACGTTATGGTTCTATAACCTTTTTGCAACGATTATGATAATTGACTGGTTCTGCTGTAACGGATTTTTATTAAACAGATAATCTCCGAAAGTACTGGGCCGATAGTTGTCAAATTTGATATTTACATTAGGAATGTCATGTAGATGGTAAAACGCTAACCAAAGTTTGTCTAATGATCCCCACCAATAATGTGATAACGTCACTTAAAAATTGTACATAGTAAATGGGTTGTATGCAATAACATAATCCTACACAGGTAGTTTATGATTCCCTATTGGGTTCTTACCCGAAACGTCCAGATTTTTAGAAAAAAATCAAAATTATACAACATTTTGCAGATGTTTTAAAGTTATGATAAACATGATAAATGTTTAATCAAAATATATTTACTTATCCCCTCTAAAAAATTGATGACGTCAGCTCAAAATTTTGCTGAATAAATCCTATCTAAATTGTATAAAATATGATGAGTCTGTCCTTATAATTTATCATTCCATTCATATTTTCTGGATTTGCTTATACAGGGTGACCCAAAAAATTAATGAATGCGTGAATTTATTTTATTGTTTTAATCAGGAACTAGAAAACTGAATGCTTTGAAATCTTGGAGTTGTTTTAAAGTTATCATAAGCATGGTAAATTTTTGATCAAAATGTATATGTTTATGAACCCCCGTGAACCCCCAAAAATTGACGACGTCATCTCAAAATTTTGTCCTGTCT